CGAAGTTGAAATTCTTTTTGCAATTTGGTAGAGGCAGAAAGTATGTTCATGTGGGACTCCTCTTGGTTGGGACTCGGTCACAGCCTACGGGGGACCCTTAGGTACCAAGTGGGACCGAGCCCAAGTAGGAAGGGCCCCGTAGGCCCAAATATGTTTGACATGACTTCGTTCTCTTTCTGTCTGGGATTCAAAGTTTTACTTTTTGGTAAGAGCACTCATTGTCGAGGGGATCTGAACTAAAACATATTGCATACTTTTACCGCAGAGTCAGTGGCGTGGTTCGCACCGTATGCATCAGTCAATTTTCCATTGCTACAAATCGTTACTAATTGTTTGAATTTGTACGATCACGGAACTGATCAGATTGGGCTCGAGGGGATCTCGTACTCGGTCTGATCAACCCTAGGCACTGGATTAGAACTCTCATCTGAGTTTTTTTTTTTTTTTTTTTTTTTTGGCTGGTTGTTCTCTAGTCTAAATGTATTGCCGCTCCGACTAGGAGTTCTGCCTTCTCTTTATTTATATGCTTTTTGGTGAGTTTCTTTTTCTGAGTGCGTATTTCGATGCCCTTGGAGACTCGTGGACAAAAAAAGGAAAGAGAGAAAAGGGACAGGGAGATCACTCATCTTGAGGGACTTGCTGAGTCCTTTTGCGTAATGCCTGCTTAGAGCCACGATATTTCTAACATTGCAGGGGTAAAGGCCTCTGTAGCCTTAAAGGCCCAATTGGAAATGGCCGACGAAGAGGACAAACCTTTGTTCCAAGTCCTCTATGACAAGGCATTGGCAAAGGAAGAGAAGGCAGAGGAGGAAAAGCGAAAAACCGTTATTACGGATTACAAGGCTGTTTCCAAAACAGTCCCCTCTTTGTCGGACTTTGAGGTCAAGAAAGACCTGGTTACATACGTACCTGCTCTTATAGATTGTCATTTGCTCAATGAACTTCCTGGTCAGGTGTCCAAACTATCTGACCAGGTGAGTAAACTATAGACACAGATTGCGGATATGGTCAAGGAGCATAGTGATTAGATGCAACAGATGGCAAATCTGCATCAGACCCGGATTCCTATTTCTCGTCCTCTACCTCCTGCCTCCAATGCTGCTAACTAGTCTATCTATCCTTGCTCCTCTCCATGTCTCGTCTTCTTCTTCTTCTTCTTCTCTGAGTGTGGTTTAATTGGGATCTACAGTAGGTGCAGACCTTGCTGTTGCTACAATAAGTGACAGCACAAGGATTTCCGCAACTGTTGCAACCTCGAGTTCAGACACAACATTTGCAGTAAGTACGACGGCAAGGAAAACGTAGAGTTCTGGATCAGTTCCATGAGAGCCTACTTCAAGGTGTTGGGAACTCAACTAATGAGCCAATCCGTGATTATGAGGACGAACGTCAAACGCGTCGTGCGAGGCTTCTTAGAAGTCCAGGCTATATGCAGAAGAGGTAAACTAAGATTAATCTGATGCAGTGGCTTAAAGCCACGGCTTCCATAGCCACCGTGCTGCGTGGTGCCAGTGGGGAGGTGCTGCTGTTTGTGGCAGGTCTTCGGCAAGCGGTGCAGGGGAGACTGTGCCCGTTTTGCACGAAGGCGGCAGGTCTTCGGCAAGCGGTGCAAGGGAGACTGCCCGTTTTGCACGGTGGCGGCAGGTCTTCGGCAAGCGGTGCAGGGGAGACTCTGCCCGTCTTGCATGGTGGGATTGGTTTTAACGGCAGTGGTGCGGAAGCACTGCCAGTTTGGCACGGTGGCAGCAACATTTTTCAGTGGGATCATACTGTCGAGATTGACAGTGGTATCGACGTTATTTTTTGGGGGGCTACGCTGACGGCACGTCGGCGGCGCTATTGTGAGGGAAGATGCTGCGGGTCTCTTGCGTCACAGTGGAGGCAGTTTTTTTAGTGTGATATGACAGTGGTGTTGCGGAGCAGCCATGGTACCGGTTTTGATGGTGCAGCAAGCAGTGGTCCGCGTTATTTTTGTGGTGCGCAGCGGTTATAGTGGATTTCAGTGTGGCCTAGAGGTTGGGCTAGTGCTGGTGCGTGGTTGGGACTGTGCGGCAGTGACGCGTGGGTCGACGACATATAGAAAATGCGGAGCGGTTGCACGCGACGAAGTAATTATGGGGCGCGCAGCACCTGCGGGTTTCATCGGGGGCCACCTTTATTTTTTTTGCGGCGTGCAGTGAAAACGGTTTTGAGTTCTGAACCACCTGGTACTACGACGATGATGTGGGAATGCATTGGGACCATTTGGGACCATTTCGGGACTAGGTGGGACTAGTTGTTGAGATCGGGGCCGACATGTTCATGTGGTTATCGTGAGTGGACAGGATGATTTGAGGCGGTATGAACTTGTTGTTGGTTGGGGAAGTGTCCTTGGAGCACGTGGTGCAGTTGGGACTATGTTGGGGCAGCCTGGGACATTCAGACCACGTGAAAACTCATTTGTGGGAACACCTTCCTGGAGGGCTATCTCGCTTGAGTTTGTGTGGCCCACCGTCTGCTCACTTGAGCACTTGGTGGAGGACACCGACTGTCATTCAGGAGAAAGGCCACAACTTATGAGTTGTGCTCCGCATATTTTTCTACGGCGGTCATTTTCCTTTGATTGATATATTACCCAACTTTCTTGAGTGAGCCGGATCAAACTTCACTCAAGGTCAGTTGAATGATTCAGATATCCCTTCACACATGTGTGAACCCACACTTTGTTTGACCCTGTTCGTTTGAACATTCGAAAGAAAAGGTAGAGGAAAGTTGTGCGAGTCATGCATGTGAATGGAAAGTCTGACTTGAGTTTGGGATGGTACTGTCTTCTTTTGAACTTGTTTTCTTGGCTGGTGTGCAGGTAGGTAGAAGGATGTTTGCAAAGGAGATTGATTATGCCTATTTGAGAGAAGAGAAAATGATTGTCTTCCCTTTACTTCTCCCCTACCTGGATGTCAATAAGGACTTGTTGTTTTGAAAAAGGTTAATTCAATGCATGTCGTAAAATGGATTCGATTCAAATAAAGCAGATAAGGTCGAATGGACTTAGCTTCTTCCCCAGGATTACTTGTTTTATCCCGAACGACCTTATCTACCTATATCTGTCCAAATGATTCTCATTCTTTACCTTTCCTGAATTCTTTTCGTCTAAGTTACCCTGGACTTAGGAGAAATAAAGAATATATGAAGATCACTTGCAGTTGACACATCTTCTACCTCTAGGAAGCATCTAGGGCGGGGGTTCAATGCTTCAGGAGCCGACCCTGTTATCAACCCGGAGTGGACCGTTCTACGGRGWGGTACTTGCCGATTCGGTGGAGACGGCCCGACTTCTGAGATCCGAGTCTTGCGCTCGGACGAGGAGGAGTACCCCAGACCACTTCCTAGAGATAGAGGCATGTAACACTTCAAGCAATGCCCCTGATCAAGAATCATTCGCAAAGGAGCTTGTCACCCAAGAAGATTGGAAACGGATGAAGGCAGATATGTGTGTCTAATCTTAAGTCGGTGGTAGGTGGAATAAAGAACGTTGGCAACGCGTCTCATCAAGTCAAAACTAAGGCAGACCGACTATCTTGTCGGCTGCATCTATATTGTTGTCGATAGTAAACTTCTTGTTGGTGGTTGTATGATTGTTTTGTGGTGTTCGACCTGAGGCGGCTGAATTGTTTTTGATCTTGTGTTATTGGATATATGAGATGATGATTTGTATTCTTTCAGTTATCTTTTCATATTGAAAATATGTTCCTATCGACTACGGTCGATTCCCTTTGATATAATTATATGTGCGGTTGTTATAATTTTCTTTTGACGGTGTGTTTAAGGGACTAGGATCGAGTTGTTGGTTTCACGCTTGGTTGAGACAGTCCTAGTCGACCGACGTTGCTCCGCACCTAGGAGAGTCGCGCCCTAGGAACGGACGACGTTCGGGTTCGTTTGGCGTTAACCAAGCGTATCAATACTACAATGAACGAGCAAACGCCGTCGACTGACCTACCTCTGCAATTGCATCTAAAAGCTTTCGCATGTAGGTCAGTAGCTTGGTAGGGATACGCTCGTAAGGGTGGTGACAGCCCCTTAGGGAAGGAAAGCTTATGCCCCGCGGGAACCTATCCTGTCGGAGAGAACCGCGGGATGTACAGCTGGCTCACCCGGCTAGAGCGGCGGCGAAGGGACAACGCGACCACGACCGTCTCAGCGGCTCATGGGATGTGTTGCGCCGTTCCTAAGTTGTCTATTGGTTTTGTTTTGTTTATCTCCTGCGTGACATGGCCGGGAGGGCCCTTGTTCGTGCGAGGGCCGATGCGCTCGACACCGTTGTTATCCATTCCAATGGAACGACCTTGTTAGGGCCATCCTTATCCATTCCAATGTCAGCGCCCGAGGGGGTGGGCCTCGAGGACACGGATCCCGTCTTTATCTCAGGGGTTAGCAGGTGGCTATCTTTTACAGTTTTTACGCATGTGGTTTCCTTCATCCTTTTTCAACACAATTTACTATATATGCATACATCCGACTTAGCGTCTAGTGCTCGAGTTGAGGCCTGCAACCCCAAGCAGCTCTAGCCCACCCGACCGTTCAACCATAGCGAAGGACAGGGGCACCCCCTTTATTTTCACTATTTCTGACCTCTCCGCTTTTTGTTGTTTTCAGGTTCATTCAAGACTTAGTTGGATTAGGCTCCTAGGGAAGGGGTGTTCTTCACGCCTCTTTACCCATAGGTTCCCTAACCTCTCTTGTTCTCGACCCATACTCAATGCCTTGCTTTATTTGTCAATCCGACTCATGACCTTTTCTTAAAGGCTCAATCTTTGTTCCTTCCAAAAACTCACAATACAACCATCCCAACCAGTCTCACCCCGATACCACGTGTCATTTTTCTGTTACTTCTATACATATTCGTTCGAAGGTAGCTCATCAAGAAGTAGCTTCAAAATGCTATCTTCTAACTCATCGTGACACAGTTCTAACTAGTCCTTGTACCGCTCATTCCTAGCAAGCTCACTCATACTATTCAAACTTTGTCACAATTTTTGTTCAATGCTCATAACATTTAGTCCCTCTTGCTGTTATGTGTCCCATCTCACTTGGTCCCTTGCTCATCCTGTCGTTCTGCTGCCGTTTTAATTCCCACGCCGGAGGCCAGGATTTCCCTCTTTCTCTTCGCAATTTCCCGCAACTCCATTTCACTGTAGAAGTCCAAAGGCGTGGCTGCCACTCCTGCCTCCATGAACTCTCGGGCCTTGATAATCCAGTCGTGCTTGATTACGCTAATCCATTGCTCAAACCAATGGTTGGGCGTTGTCCCAAACTCATCTTCCCATCTGAAGGATCCTTCACGTGGCCGGTTCGTAGGGGGTCGCATTTCTTCTCTAGGCCTTGAGATCTCATCCCTCTCATCGCCACTACTAATCTCGATGACCTCTTGTACTTCTTCCTCCTCGTCCTCATCCTCTTCCGGTCGTACGAGGCTGAACTCACCCGTGAAGTTCTTCGGATCCAGGTTATAAGGGACGTCCGCCCTCCTTTCATATCCTTCCCCAAAGTCCGTGTACCTCCCCTCACAACTGTCGTGGCCGCTCCGCTCTTCATGTGGACTCTCCCTTCCTTCTTCCCCTTCTTCGCACATGTCATTCTTGTCCTGTTTTTCTTCGTTCTCCCCACACCAAGGCTTACGCTGTTTGCACTCCTTGGCCTTCTTTTCGGCAGAGGTTCGAGCCCTCTCTCCTTCCAATCTACCCGTTTCTCTCATACTCGCTCTCTCTTCCTCGCTCTCACTCCCTGATGAGATATATATTCCTTCTCCCCTTTTGAGAGGCGAGGGCCCTCTACACACCTGTTTTCTCGCCCCCCTGCGCATTACTTGTTTGGACAGGTACCCTATATACAATTTTCTCTTTACGGTCTTCCACTACCTGCTTGGTCCCGCTCCTTCCCCTTCGCTGGTCCTGTTGATTGCACTGCTGTCATTTCCGTTGCCGAATTCCATTTTCTCTGTTTAAGGCTTCTTCCCTGATCCTGTATAACAAAACAACACCCATCGAGCCCCTCATACACACGTCCCCCCAGTTTGGTATAAGATACCTTTTCCCCAAGAGTGCTCCCAGTATCCCTCGTACAAAGCCATTATTATACATTGCCCCTTCATACAAATGCCGCTTTTGTAATGATCCCATTATTTTTCCCTAAAAAACTATGGTACAACGCTCCCGGCAGCCTTTCCCATTGCCACCAAAAACCCATTGGCGCAAAAGTCCAAGGGCATCCCGCCTCCCATTTTCAATCAGCCCAAGTCATTGCCCCCTCCCAAAAAAAGAAAAGTCCCACAGACGTAATCAGAGACAAAACATAGTGTGGGCAAGGCTGCCGCCAATTCTTAGCTTGTAGACTCCTCAGTTTCCTTATCCTCGGCCTCCTGAAGCCATTGTTCCACTGGGTCCCGACTTAGAAACCTGACCAATCATTGCCCTGGGAAGGGTTCTTTCAATCCAGTTCCATCCAAATCTTCCAGTTCGAAGGTGTTTAGTCCCACCCGCTTAGCGACCCGGTAGGGGCCTTTGAACCTCCTCCCAGTTGCCCAGACCAAGTACTTTCTAGTGCCGAGTTTGTTACCAATACCGTCTCCCCCACCTGAAGTGGCTCCTTTCGGATATTTTTAACCTGGTCCCATCTTGCTTCGTCCCTCATCCTGCTATCTAGTACCCGGTTGGCGATGCCCTCCATGGCCTCCTCGTTTCTAAGGACTTGTTGACATCGTGCCTCAATTAACTCTTCCGTGGTCATACGCGCCTCATCTAACCTGTTCCAGGTAGGTATCAAGGCCTCCACGGGAAAATCGATCTCTCTTTCGTACCAGAGTTCCGCTGGGATACATCTCGTTGTCCTCTTAGGTGTCATGTTCTCCGAAAAGACAGTCTGTTTAAGATATCTAGACCAACTCCCCAGATCGTCCGCCGCGAGCTTCGCAATTGTGTTCTTTAAGGTCCGGTGCCCCCTTTCCACAGATGCATTAGCCTCCGGGTGATAGGGCTCAATGAGTTTGCTAGGTACGCAGAGTCTTTTAAGCATTCCCAACACTTCTTGGTTTACAAACTTTGTTCCGTTGTCTGCTATAAACCTCTTAATGAAGGGATGCCTCAGGTGGAAATCCTCTATCCAATTTGCTACACCTTTCCCCATCTTTTTCTTGAGGGCGATCGCCTCCACGAACCCACTCAAGTTGTCCCTCGCGTCCAAGATATACCTGTATCCATCCGTTGATACAGTCATAACCGCAAGGTCAAGATGAACCAGATATCCCGTCCCCAGCACCCGTGTTGGTCTAAGTGGCTCGAAGACGTAACGAAATCCTAGTATGGTTACTTCTGGTACTGCCAGAATACTCTTTGGTCTGCTAGCCGTGATGTTGTATACTAGAAATCGGTGAAGTAAGTCCTTGGTGTCCTGTAGATGATCCCACACAAATTTTCGAATTCCTGGCTAGACTTCCGTCTCGTCCTTCTCCTGGGCGCCTTTGATCGGGTTGTCGTCGATGTAGGGTTCACACTTCTCCGGGAACATGTCCCCGGCTACGACGAACATCCTCCTTTGCGTTTCGGCTACTGCGTTCGTAAAGCTCATAGGGGTTACCTGCATCTGCAACTGCCCTACGGGTGTGTGCATTGCGGTGTATGGTCTGTCCCGAGTGTCCAATGGGAGTTAGTCGTACCCTGAATACAAGTCTACCAGGGAGTAAATGCTCCAGCCGGCGTGGGACTCCGCTAATAAGTCGGCCTGCGGTAGCAAACCGTCATCCCGGATGATCACTGCATTCAACTTTTGCAGGTCTTGAATCCACCTCAGTGTCTTGTTGGGCTTTCGAAAGACGAACCACCTATTTGCGTATGGGGACGTGGTAGGCTCTGCGACAAAGGAATCCATTTTTGTTCAGAGAAGGTCTGTCACTTCTCCTGCTATCCCGAACTCATAGGATAGTCCTTTGTCATTCCAACACGCATGCTCTGCTGTATGGATCCTGATCGGAGGGATTAGCTTTGCGTCTAACCGCCCCTTTTGATGATCACTAAAGGCGAATGCCAAATGAAACTCTTGATACGTCCTTTTCATCAGGAGGGTTTCTTCTTCTGTTAAGAATCTTTTTATTCCTATCTTCATTGTGTCAACTACCTCATCTGGTATCCGATGTCCTTTTGTCGCTCGCCTCTCTCGGATTACTCGAAGAACCTCTTCCTCCCTTTCCATGACCTCTTCCTTAGATGTCTCTAGCAGGATCGAAACCGACTTAGCTTTCTTCCCTACTGGCTTGTACTTTAGAACACTTCCTTCTGGGATCTTTCTCATAGAAAATGAACGGTCGGAATTACCCTTGTTGCCTCTGCGACCCGCGGGTGAATACTGATTATCTTTCCATTCAGACAATATCTCTGCTGTACTTCCCCTTCAAATTTGGCCAGTGTCGTCGGGTTCACCCCTACTTTGTGATATTTGGTAGCTTTGATGAACTGTAATAAATCAGGGATCTCGAGTGCGACTTTCGGTACCTCCATCCGTACCTCTTTCCGCTTGGGCAGGCTGGCCCCAAGTTCAACTTTTGATTCCCTTTCTGCCACCATGACTCCTAAGATTTCGTCCTCCTGTTTTCTCTTCTTCTGAGGCAGGCCCATCTTGATCCATTCTTTCTTGTTGAACGCTTCCTCAATCATAATTTCTACCCTTTCTCTCATGCCCTCCATTCGCGCGAGCGCTATCTTCGAATGACGGCGACCGTGTTGCTAACTTTCTTTTAGGCGGCTCTCCTTCGGTCCCGATGAGTCGGAGGAGCTCCCCACGGCCAGTTACCGGGTCCTCTAAGTCTACCATGTATGCGCCATCATGCAGACGCATCCCTATTATTTCTACATTGGCGCACCATGGTCTTCCGAGGATTATGTTGTGGTCGATTTCGTCTAATACGGTCATCCGCTGAAATGACCAAATCGACTCCCGGATGCCTGCCTTGACCGCACATTTGGTGACGTACCCTGAAAACGGGATCTCGCCACCGGCCCCTCAGATGCTCCTCATTACTTCCTTATTAACCACACAACCGGTAATTGTTGCGAAATCTCTCATTATGAGTGTGATTTCCGCACCTCCGTCTACTAGGGTGTCTGTGTGATGTGTCCCGATCTGCACCTTTAACTCCCCCACGGGCAACGCATGGAAACTAAGCTTCGTCTCGGGTGGAGCCCTCATGCGTTCCCCGCCTTCACGGTCTGGCAAGCTCAAACGGATATCCGCAAAAGCCTTTTCTAGATCCTCGAAATCTCCATGACTCCTTTGAAGATTAGCAACTTCTTGCGGAGCTTCCTCCTCTTTTTCCTTTTCCTGCGATTTCGGCTTTTCGTCTATCTCCACTCATCGGCGAGTCAATAGTTGTTTAAGCCCTTTGAGCAGTCTGGGGCTAACTTGCAACATGGTCAGGAAGGATACTGATACCATGGTTCCTAGTAATGCTAAGGGTGTCGTCGATCTCTGGCATGGTTAGGATCGGGATTTGATACCTAAACTTTTTCTTGGTAGCGGTGACCTTGTCAGTAGGCTACTCTTCCCTTGGCAGCGGTGACCTTGTCCATAGGCTCCTCTTCCCAGCCCTCATCTCCTTGGTTTGACGGACCCTGGCCAAAGTGCCCCCTCGTCGCATTGGCCCCTTAATCCCATTTTTGGGCCGGCCCGTGCTCCGGAGGTCGCCTGTTGGTTTTTCAGTCGCAGCGACCGTAGCAAGGGACCTGGTCAGTCATCAGCAGTAGCAGTAACATTGTTATGCACAACAACAGCAGCAACAACAGTCCTAGTGAAGAAAACAATCTTTTTTTCTTTTCTTTACTTCCTACTTACCGCGTTCGATTAGAACACGGGGTCCTGCTAGACCACGTATGTGTCAAGTCGATTGGCCAGGGCAGATTCAGACTATCAGCAAGTGCAAGGAATGAACAATGCACGAGTATGGCAAGGGGAGAGGCATTCCACAAGTTGAACAGCTAGGGAGGGACCGGATCATCACCAAGTGCATGAAATTGACAAGGGAAGAGTGTGACTAGTGAGAGCACATGCATATGACTAGTGGAACAGCCAAGGATGAATCGAACTATCGCCAAGTGCATGAAGCTGACAAGGCAAGAGTGTGACTAGTGAGGACACATGCATGTGACTAGTGGAACAGCCAAGGATGAATCGGACTATTACCAAGTGTGTGAAATGACCAAAGCAAGAGAATGACTAGTGAGAACACATGCATATGAGTAGTGGAACAGCCAAGGGTGAATCGAACTATCACCGAGTGTGTGAAATGACCAAAGCAAGAGTATGACTACCAAGAACACATGCATATGAGTAGTGGAACAACCAAGGAGAAATCGGACTATCACCAAGTGTGTGAAATGACCAAAGCAAGAGTATGACTAGTGAGAACACATGCATACGAACCAAGGGTGAATCGGACTGTCACCGAGTGTGTGAAATGACCAAAGCAAGAGTATGACTAGTGAGAACATATGCATATGAGTAGTGGAACAGCCAAGGAGAAATCGGACTATCACCAAGTGTGTAAAATGACCAAAGCAAGAGAATGACTAGTGAGAACACATGCATATGGGTAGTGGAACAACCAAGGAGAAATCAGACTATCACCGAGTGTGTGAAATGACCAAAGCAAGAGTATGACTAGTGAGAACACATGCATATGAGTAGTGGAACAACCAAGGAGAAATCGGACTATCACCAAGTGTGTGAAATGACCAAAGCAAGAGAATGACTAGTGAGAAGTGAACAACCAAGGAGAA